ACGGATCAGGTAGCTCAAAAGGTGCTATTCATCAGTCCTGGGAGGTGTGCCGATCTGCGCGGCACCGCTTGTGAAAATACGTGGGCGGGTCTCAAACCGGGAGAAGCCTGCATTTGGAAGCTGTCTCAATCTGGCTCCAGTTCCCTCCAACATGAATGACATTACGCAGTAAACTGTCAGCGAATTGTTTCAGGCTATGTTAGGCCTGAGAGCAGCTGTTTGCTAGCCAGAGAAATTGAGTAAACGAAACCCGAGTTTTGAGGCCCGCAATGCTTGGCATCGGAAAAGAATTCGGTGCCCAATGGTTAGCATCCTTCTCAGGCTTTTGTTCCCAGAAAGCCACTGTTTCCAGGTACCAACCCCTAGGTGCTGTGCATGTCGGCAAAGCCTGCGGCTTTGTACAACGCACACGTTGGTGATGAGGGTACTTGGAAATGGCTGTGGCTCAAAAGATGGAATCCCCATTTTTCGATGCCCCTTGAATGGAATCATAGATGAATCAAGCCCTGCGGTTTGTTCTAGCTCACAAGCGGAACAATGAGCCACTGGCCCTTCAAAAGCCGGCCGGAAGTTTCCAGTGCAGTTGAAGTTACTTCGGAAGCTCCGTATGTCCCTAGTGAGTCGGAGAGAGCGCGGAGTCGGCACCGGACATGCCGCAAGCATTTTTTTTGATCCAAGGAAAAACACATCCCAGAAATGTCAGTGCTGCAATTGGTTGGCTTCACTGTCGCAATCGCAATCACTTTAAGCAAAGAGATCCATCTTTTTTTTTGTTCAGCGAACTCGAGGGTATAGAGTTGAGTGAAGAAAGGAACTGAGCGACTCAAGTCTTTTGAACTTTGGAAGCCCGGAAGATTCCGCAGGTCGAGATGCTCGGGCATGCGCTGTACAGATACTTTTCAAGAGTTCCAGCCAGACTGGACACAAAAGACTCAGCGAGAATTCGGACAGACCTCACAATATATCGATGCCATTTTTTGCCAAGAAATACGTTATGGGATTGTTTCTAGATGGGTGTGTGCAGCCAAAAAGACAAACTGAAACCGACACATCCCTCTAGGCCCATTGACGGTTCTTTGGATTGGTTTACTCGTTCGTTGCTTTCGGCCATCTGCCTCTGGCAAGTTGTGTCGAATCGCGAGTTGCAGAGTCGATGGCCAATCGCGCTGTGGGGACTGGCCATGGAACCGGCTTTCGACATGCAAATTGCAGCAACCTTGCAGGGGGATTGAATGAGGAAATCGGTTGAGATTGTCTTTGTTTATGAAGCGCTCATAAACATTCCCCTATGTTTGATTTATTTTGCTTGATCTGTAGAGCAAAATTCTGGGAGCCCGTTTGATATAGCGGGTCATCCACGTGGACCAACAATTCAAAGTGTGTGTGTGTGTGTTTTTGCCAGATTGGGGGTAAAAGCCGATGTAGATCGACAAAAAAGTGCCGAAATTCTCAACTTCTTTATGTGGGCATGGGTCAAAATGAAACCACAAGGAATTGGACCGCAGGTTAAATCAAAATCGTCCATGTTTTCATTTACCAGGGCAACCCATTTTGGGGTTACCCGATGTTTTCACAACCGCAGCCACGTGGAGATTCACTTCGCCATTTTTTCTCTTCCGAGGACCATCCCCTGCGCCGACGGCCCAAGTTTTGGTCCAATGCGCGCATCGTGGCGACATGGGCGAAAAGGCGGCGCAACATGAAAAAGCGCGATGTGAGCCCCCTGTTCGCATCCTCCGTTTTTTATATGGGTCCTTTTTCTTTGGAGGCTTTTAAGGGGTGTGAGGCGCAGCTTCAGTCATAGGCCTGCCCCTACCTGCGACTTGATATGTTTGTTGAAGACCTTTGGAAGGTTGCTGTTTTCCTTTGCAAATTCTTCTGGATCCTGGATCATTTGGGCTAGGATGTGTAGGGAGAATGAATCATAGAAAATCAGATGGAGCCCTAGGCACTAGGCAAAATGATATAACGGTGAAACAATACGTTTGATTTGGCTAATATTTCCTGAACACGTAGAATCGCCGCAAAAGAGACCCCGGAGACACCAATGTTGTCGTCAAACTGACGGGTCGGCTATGCAGATTCATGGCCAAGGATTGTTCATACAGGGTGCAAGCAAGGGATGTGTGGTCACCATGTCCATTCTATGGTCCATGAGGGAGGTGGCTCTGCAAATCTCCCACAAAACTACCCTCCAAGTACCCTCCTTTTTTAAGGTCTTTGTTGGGAAACTCGGGGGGTCGCCATCATAGAACATGGCATTGGGCGGGGGTAGACTCCAGGACCGAGCCAGTGGCTAGAGGTAGACATGCCCGATTTGGTGGTTCCACCAGCTGGCTTGCCACATTCGAAGGCTTGGGAATTGGGGCTCCGGATGGCTTGCTGATGGCAACTAGGTCCCCCAGCAATTGGTGCCCGACCTCTCACCCCTTTTTGGTTGGGAGGGTTCCCTACAGCAAAAAGGGTACCCTTGTTCTAACCTCTCTACTGGAGGACCTAGACAAGGTCTCTAAATCATGGTACCAGTAGAAACACCCACCACAAATCTTGCTGGCTCCCAGCCATCCGGTTCCTTTGCTTCTTATCCAGTTAAAGTGTTTAGTGGTAGTTTCCATTCAACCCACTAAAAGTTAAACTTTTAGCGGGGAATCTGAGGGCAGCCCAGAAAAGTTTGTTCTTTCATAGAAGTTACCCATGGTCCTCATATTGATCAACCCCCCATGAAGAAAGCCGTCTCGGTCGTGTTGTTTTTTTGGTTGAACCCCCCAAAGGAATAATGTTGACCCCGGATTAATAAACCCCTCCCATTATTATGGGAGTGTTCCCTCCAAAAGTGATGAATCCCCACTAAAAGGGGACACCCTCCTATTAATCAACCTGGGGTTTATTAATCCGGGGTTAACATTATCGACCATTCCAAGTCCCCGCTGCCTCGCTGGCTCTGAGGCCTCAGCACGCGCTGGAAGCCGAAGCGAGGCTTCGGTTTCCCTCTTCGATTTGGGACATCGAAGACGTTTCACCGATGCGGCCATGGCGACCGCTTGGTGGCTCCCAGCCATCGGGTTCCTTAGCTTTTCAGATCCATTAAGTGTTGAGTGGTAGTTTCCGAATTTAACCCACTAAAAGTTAGGCTTTTGGCGGGGGATCTGAGAGCAGCCCAGGCGTATGGCAAAAGTCTCCTTTGCCGAAAGCGAATCGACTGGATCCGACCATTTGATTCCCCTTGACCAAGTCATGGCCCCGAAAGGGAAACCTTGTATTTCGGGGTCCTTTGGGCAACTGAGACAATCATGCCGGCGACTGGAGTTGGACTCTGACAGACCGATCCTACCAGCACAAGTTTACAGAATCAGGGAAGTGCAGAGGATTGCGTACTTCCTTGCCATCAAAGTGTCGGAGTTCTCACAATCAGACCTATATTATTCATACATAATACGATTTGTTTGATCCCTTCGACAAAGCCAGGGATCGTCTGTTGGCCCCTTTTGACCCTTTAGAAATGAAACACCTGCAGAAAGAGTTGTTGTTTTCCACTCTTCAGGGGGTCGTTTGATCTGCTTACGTGTCAAAATTCAAACTCTGCTCCTGAATGGAATTCTGGTCACAGCTAGCCCTTCAAGGGGCAAAGACGCCAGGTTTCATTGTGGTTCATTTCAAGCATGCCGCTTTTTCGCTACTCATTCGTTTGATTGGCACTATCAGGTCTGCAGACTTAGATGGCTAGACTCGACTCACGCATGCCGGAGCTGCAGCGATGGGCCCTTGAATCCGGTGGATTCCAAATAGGTGTCATACTCCGAGAATTGGCGATACGTGATGTTTATTTTTCAGCCGGAATGGATACCCTATGATACAAAAGGAAAAACCAAAAACAAAAACGCCCGAAACTCGAGCCTCTTCTCAGTTGCCACGTGAGTTCCGCTTCATTGTTCGTTGTTTTTGGGGAAGGGCCGACGTGCGAGTATCTACAACACCGAGTGTGTTTTCCCATGGTTCAAAGTCGTCAACTGCTGAAGGGGTGTGGCTTTCTTCAATCTGTCCTTAGCCACAATCGGGTCGAAGCATGCAGTTAGTGATGCTCATTTCCGCAGCTTGTTGATTCGGATCTTTTGGATCGCATCTGACTTCCAATGGGCTTGAGAGCCTTTGAGCCTTCCATGGCAACATGGGTGTGGTTCAATATTCAAGAGCAGGGGCTACGCAGGTTTTGGTCGTGGTTTCCATCTAATTACTTCAAGAAACCGGTTGGGGTGCCACTTTTTGAGCCACAGCCACATGGCTTCAGTTTCTTCAGCCGATTGCCCCATCGGAGTTTCTGCAGGTGTGGCAACTCTCAGGCTGGACGGGCGGGGGGACCCTCTTTGTGTACTGCATGTGTTTTGTCTTTAAATGTAAACAATATGTGCATATATATATATGTAGACATATATCTTGTGAAAATATCTATGTATATATACTATAGATATATAGAGAGAGAGAGAGAGAAAGAGATATGAGGCCTTATATATACACGATACTATTTGTCGTGTTGCATTGTAGTATATGAGCCTTGCAAGGCAGGTTCTTCCTGGCAACAGTTTCTTCAGGATTCTCCAATTTCACTTGGATTGTTCGTCCGATTGACAGAGAGAAGGAGATTAAAAAGAAGAGAGAGAGAGAGAGAGAGAGTGTGTGTGAGAGAGAGATGGAGCCCCTGTTTCCAGGAGAATCACTTTGCTCACATGAACGAATTGCCTGACAAGCCAAACTGCCGCCACATGCGTGTTCGGAGAAACCAACATTTCATGTTGGTCAACACTTGAATGTGTGATTGCTGGTTGGTTTTCGGTTTTGCTCACACGAACGAATTGCCTGGCAAGCCAAACCGCCGCTGCATGCATGTTCGGAGAAAGCGACATTTCATGCTGGTCAACGCTTAAGTGTGTGATTGCTGGTTGGTTTGCGGTTCACGGGCCATTTCAGTGCAAACAATCAATCTTAATCACTCCATTCATGGCGCT